CCTGGGAAAAACAAAACAAAAAGTGACTTGGAAAGTAAATTCTCTTTTACTGAAACCAGATCAAGAAACATGTTTAATCCTAATTTGTAGAGCTCAGCACTGATCCACCTAAATGAGTGCAATGCTGAGATCCAGACTTGGATATGTGATTATTAAAAACAGGATTAACGCTATGCACTTTTAAAACTTAAAATTCACTAAAACCGGTGCATTTAAAGATTTCCTTCAAGCTCTGGTTAAAGTACACATGGAGCCAGAACCTACGCTAAGGTGACTGTGATTCATAAATGAAGCTAGAATCGTTGAAAGTCTTATTTGGTATAGAATAGCTTAAGGCTTTTACGAGATCCAAGTCAATGTGTCTGCCAGGAGGTGAGTCATCTGCTCAGTGTTAATCTATGCACAGTGCGATTCTGTCCAATTTCCTTACTGCTCATAGTACATAGATATTTACTAAGGTCTTTGGAACTTTGTGACAGCTAGCTTTTTCTGACGCACATGATTGTAACAGAGTCGTTAAATACATCAGCCAAAAAAAGTCCAGCGATTCAAAATGGTAAATACTCGCATTTGTACCATTAAGGGCGCATGGAAAGGAAAACAAACTGCCATAAAGCAGCAAATATCTATGTATTAACTAGCAGTGACATGTTGTTTAGATTAATCCCTTCTTAGCTCTCTATAATGTATTTTTGCATCGTGAATGTATATATTTAATGAATGCTAAATTGTTACACAGAAAATTATCTACAAATCCCATCTGTCTCTTTAACTCGGTTTCTGTTTTTCTCTCTCTCTTTCTCAAATTAAACTTTTCCTTAATGCATTTAGATTTTACGAACTGAGATGAGATGTGATCTGAACCAGAGGTTCACTTCTCCTTGGAAATACAAACAGATCTGGAGCCAAGTCTGGTACCTATTCAGAATTAGATCAGAGCTGTTTGGCTCACAGAACATCTCCAGCAATAAAGTCTCATTTTAGATATCTACAGAGCTGTTAGCTGGTACAGACTTCTCCCTAAAGACTTACATGCATGGATCATTTTAAACACGCTGTAGCACTAAAATGTGCATTAGTGTGTATGTTTACATGTGTGTGTGTGGGTGTTTGTGTGTGTTAGTGAATATATTGTAGAGTTTAGTGTAGTCATGCTAGATGTGGATAAAAACTGCCAGTGGTATCTTTTTTTTCCGACACTATTTTAGAATAACAGACTTGTCCTTGTTTCAAGTGTTATGTATTAAGCATAAATGCAGGTTTGCTATTGCAAATGACTAATCAGATACTTTTATACATTAGATGAGTAGAGATAAAATAAAACAACATGTTCCACTGAAAGGTGAAACTTTAAAAATTCAATTTTGAGCTACTGTAGAAATTGCTGTAGAACTAGCTCAAGCGGAGCGCGCTGTAGTGGTCATGGTGGCCAAAGGCAGCTCTCTCATTAGGAGGGGTTAGCTTGTTGCCGAAGGCCTCGTGCTCACTAGGGCCTTGTGGCCACCTAGCTCACCTTAGGGCAGACTGATCCGTCGGGTTCTTGCTTCGTGACCAGAGGTGGTCTGGTGGCTTACTTTGTGTACCACTGGGTGCAGGGCCCCTCTATGCAGACTATCCAGGCATAGAGAAGTCCCAGCAGTCTCCGGTCTGCAGCTCCGATAGGTACAGAGTTACAAACCATGAGGTAGTTGTCTCACAAGCTCTGGCAAAGACTGTCAGAGAGTTGCCATGGTAACCCATCAGAGCTGCACCCTAGATAGCTAGCCCACCAAGGAGGGAGACCACTGAAGCATAGGAAAGGTATAGTGTGAGGAGGCTGATTTCCAAAACACAGCCTTCCCACACTCTGTCACCCCCACACACACACACACACACTCACCCCACCAACTATGCCACACTTACCCAATCACATTAACAGATCTAATTATATCATACTACACCCCCAACTATGACACACTCACTCTGTTACATTACCCTGTCACACTCACCTCCCCTCACCTTGTCACACTTTCTCCTCCATGTCACATGCACCCCAACTCTGTGACTTGTAATAATTATAATAATTTTTAGATAATATCATATTATTATATTATAATTCCATAAGTATATATATAATTATAATCATGGCCCAATTTTATGGATTGCTATAAAGCATAAGGAATCCCAGTTATGAATAAGGAAACAAATAGTTAAGGAAAATGAATAGTAAGGAAACCGCCTCTCCTATGACTTTATAAAGATCAGCGCAATTTAAGCTTTAGTGTCTGCACTTTAACACCATTTATGCTTCCGGACGCTGGTCTTATGTGTGTCCATGCTGACAGACCCGCATTCCTATTTTATAACTCTGGCTTATGTCTTGACCCTAATTTTATGCTGTTAGTCCTGACTGCTGTTTAGTTCACTTAATGTTGTTTATTAATTGCCTGCTTACTTCTGGGATTCTTTTACCAATCTTGCAAATTCACTGCTCAACATTCTAGCTTCTTCTCACGTCCACTATTCCATATTAATTTGACATAAGTTTCTAATTGCTGTTTTAGATTTTTAGAGAACCCTGTCAAGCTGCAAGATGTTCCTGCGGACTGCTAAAGCTGTTTTTGGGTTCTTACCTGGATCTTACTGGTATATTAATACCAATCATTTTAGATACAATTCTGGTTATGAAAAGACATTCCAGACATTGGACTACAAGGTGCTGATATGTATACAAATATAAAATGTTTTACGCATACATTACAATCTCGGTGTCCATTGCTGTTTATATATATATATTTATTTCAAAGACCAAAGATGGCAAACCCAGATGTTTAAGGCCTAAAACACTGGCTGGGTGTGATAGGAATTGTTGTCTATAAGCATCTGGGGAGCAAAAAGTAGCCATCAACGGCATACACAAATCCTGATCTGGCCCTCCATCTATTCCATGACTATTTCTAAGAGTTTCATTGTGTATCTAGCAATTATCACCCAGAATCCTCTTCAGGAGACACTTTGAGATAGCCATCAACACTTGTGATGCACTGACGTTGATTGTTATGATAGACATGAGAGACAACCAATTAGAATCAGTGCATCCTTATATCAGATAACAATCCTACATGGTTACTGTAAAACACATTTAGATACAAAATATTACAATGACATCTGGTATCTTCCCCTTTCTCTTCTAAATTTACTTTATGGTACTATGCTACACTTCACTATATGTTAAATGATAATAACATACACAGTTACATCAATATGTTTTACTTCTCTATTCTGTTTTTGTTTTGTGAAAAGAGAACAAACACAGAATCCTTTTATTGTAATTATAATAAAGAATGTGTGTGTTATGTCTTCTCCCGTATTCTGTGACAAACATATGCACACATGCACTTTCTCACTTTTTTATGTCTATCTTTTCCCACAGAGTTATTTTTTAATGTATTGAAATTTTATGAGCTGAGATGTAATCTGAACCAGAGACTCTTCAAGGAAATCAGTAGAGATCTGGGGCCCAGCCTTTCACTTCCTGATAGTTTGGATAAAAATCAGACTTTTTTTCCTTTTTATTTTGGCTCGCTACTCCAATCTTGAACTCAATATGAATTCAAATTAAAACTTGAAAAGGATACTCTAGGCTAGGATTTGACAACTCATCCTTTTTAATGCATTATGGAAATAATATATTTAATTAAAATGTGCAAAAAAGGAAAATATGCTATTTTAATCAGTAATCATACTGGGATATTACACTTTGGGTCATTTCGCCTTTGATTCCAGCACATATTTCCTAACAATTTTAACATACCTTATAATTCAAGATTCTACACATTTTACACATTCACAATTACAAAAGTGCCACCTTCAGATAAGACAAAAAGGAAATCAAATGCCGAAAGGTCACACTAAGAGACCTGTAGAATATAATATACAGCAAACACGTGGCATGGCGGGTATGCATTCATACAATGCAAATACAAACTTCTATCTACAAAATACATAATTCACTATTTGTTTAACCTATGGATGAAATCTATTGAAAAAAATCCAGACGAGTATATTGACACCCCTGATCCCTTTACAGTAGGAATTGAAAATATTTTAAATTTTCTTCATGGAATGTCTTTAGGATAATTCATTAAAGGACCACTCTAGGCACCCAGACCACTTCAGCTTAATGAAGTGGTCTAGGTGCCAGGTCCAGCTAGGCTTAACCCATTCTTTTATAAACAAAGCAGTTTCAGAGAAACTGCTATGTTTATCAATGGGTTAAGCCTTCCCCCAATTCCTCTAGTGGCTGTCTCGTTGACAGCCGCTAGAGGCGCTTGCGTGCTTCTCACTGTGAAAATCACAGTGAGAGCACGCAAGCGTCCATAGGAAAGCATTGATAATGCTTTCCTATGTGACCGGCTGAATGCGCGCGCAGCTCTTGCCAAACGTGCGCATTCAGCCGCATGGGAGGAGAAGAGGAGGAGAAGAGGAGGATTGAAGGAGGAGTGCTCCCCGCCCAGCGCTGGAAAAAGGTAAGTTTTTACCCCTTTCCCCCTTCCAGAGCCGGGCGGGAGGAGTATGTTTTCCTGGCATTATAGTGGTCCTTTAAATAAGGGTTTGATCAAGAATTTTTTTTTTTAGCCCGCGATTGCTGATTTGGAAAATTAGCTGACTAACCTGTTCCATTCTAGTTATGAAACTTGAAATGCGGTGGTCAGATACAGGTTTAGAGAACAACCCAGTTAATGCGTCAGCCAGAAGATCCTTGCTTGTGACTTGATCATATACAATGAAATGTTGGAAATATAAGTGGTAGGTATTAGGAGATGCTGCTATAGTGCAGATATCAGTATCGTTTACCTGAAAATCACAGCCAAGATCACAGATTAGCATGGGATCAGTTTAGTGGATAACACACTAGACATAACATTCACCATCAAGGTACATTTTATAGAAGACAAGCCACAGGATGGCTTGAACATTCAAGTACTTTACATAAACTGAGTCCAATACCTTAAGGATCAGCTTGCAACACAAACTAGAAACAGGTTCCAGAACAGAATAAAATAGAACAGAGTGACAATTCACTTTAAGTTCATAGGTCAGCCACTTTAAAGTTTATTGGTTTTCATAAGATTTTGGACACATCCTCGAAGTGTGAATAAACATACCAATCTCTAGAACTGAAATTTACTTGATGCTGGTATTCAAAGCCGTTGGCCAATACTCTATTTATTGAAATATCTAACAAAATGCATATTTCCAAAACATTATCCAAATTGGAAGCAGATGTACAATTTTTAAACACATGGATTCAACAAACTGTGGTCTGCAGAACATGAAACCATGTTTTAAAGTAGACATTAATAAGACAGTGGCGTGACTTTCCCAAGAACCCTTGATAAAACCCTTTCCGTGGATGACCACATTTCCATTGTGTCATCAAGGACACTAGAATTTTCAGAAAAAAATGAAAATAAATTATTTTGGGGAGTGTATGATAGGGTCCCAATCACTCAATCTCTCAGTGTATTGTGAGCCCTATGTCTGCATTACACAATGTATTCAAGACTACATACACAACGTATTAGATATTGAATCCATGTTGAAAATTAATTTATAACTCTAGTGTCATGAGCCATTGCTTTGGTATTTAACAGGTTTATGTACTAAAATGAGAATACAAATCGAATTTCAAATTTGTTGCCAGAGTAGTCGAACTGAAAGCAGAGTTCACTACGAGGATTTTTCCAGTTTGACTATTTTGACGTTAAATCTTAGATTCACTTTGAATTCACCCTAGTTTCTCCCTTTAGTGAATATCTTTGTGAGTCTTTGATCCTATGCTCATAAGTTATTCTTTTCAAATGCATTAGCACTATCTGAAATTCAGAGAAGTTGAACATACAACGGGGTAAGTCAAATTCAAAGCTCATTTTCCTGGTACGATAGCTTATCCCTTGTATCACCTCTTCACTCCCTCCCCCCTGGGTGCATAAGGGGTTAAAAAACCCTTCTGTAACTTAGCTCAGTGCAGCACCAATGTCCCTTTGCGCTGGATCAGATCTGTCGTGTCTCATCCCTGGTGGGGGAGAACTTAATGCCCCGCAATGTCCGTTCTCACATTAGGAGTTCCCCATAAGAAAGCATTATTAAATGCTTTCAAATGGGGATTCCAGTGATGCTGGAAGTCTTCATGCATAGCGTGAGGACGTCCAGTGTCAGGCGACCAAAAGTCGCCTAATGATCCGGAAGTCATCTCTCTAGTGGCAGTTTGATAGAGGTGGAGTTAACCCGTAAAGATAATTATTGCAGTTTATAAAAAACATGCAAGAATTACCTTTACAGGGTTAAGGGTGCTGGGACACTGCACCCAGAACACTTCAATAAACTGAAGTAGTGTGGGTGCCTAAAGTGTCCCTTTAAGATTGAGCCAATATCAGTTGCCTTACATTTGAATGGTGGTAACCAATTTATGACTTTTAGGACTGCTTTAAAGAGCTGCTAACAATACATTTTCAACATGATCACAATCCAAAAATCTCATAAACTTTTTCTGATGACAATGCAGCCAGAGTTTGACATAATTATCAACTTGGGGCTTAACATCAGTCACCATTGATATTCCTAGATGATTCTCACTAGGTTAATGGCAAACACAATGAATCCATATTAGAATGATCTGACTTGCAGTGCACTGTGGATGATAATAGGTGACGTGTGTCATTAACATGTGTTCCACATCAATATTGATATGCACGTATGTTTCTTTAAGCATGTTTACATTGGGTGTAATGTATTTGTGTATTTGTGTTGTCAAGTTAACAGTGCTATTGTGTTGCTAAATTGTTTTTTACTTCATTGTCAGCCTTTGCATATTTTACAGAGTCCCCTGATGGTAACTTTGCTATTTTCAGTGAAGTGGATGTGGTGCAGGAAAAGGTGAGTTTTACTTTACTGAAGCTGTTCCTCAAAGTCGCCATCTTTTTCTGTGGGATTCTCTTCAGCTCGTGGGGATTCATCCAAGAGATTGTGACATGAATTCTGTACTCCCGCACATGCAGTTCGCCTCCATATACAAAGCCATTTTCCCTTTAGCCATCATATTTACATCTGGGGGTTTGACGAAGCTTTATAGTAGTTGCCTTTTTATTAAACTTTGTCAAGTGGAGATAAAATACAGTCCCTACTTTGTCTCAGCATATCTTTTGACTGCATTGGAGTTTCACCAAAATTCCAACACAGTCAATATGAGTATTTCATAAAGATTTTAAATTGTCAGATTTTTTTTGGGGGGGGGGGGCAACAGAGCAATTTTAATTGATTATTGCAGGATCATTACTATACATTTGGTGATATGCCTTCAAACCCAGGGTGGTGTGCTGACAACACATAAACTTTGGAAATGGTTACTTTTTAGATATGAAAGTCTTTCTGTAACTTATCAAGTCTTTTTGATGTTGAATTTGTCCAATTATTCCATTAATATGCCGACAACTCTTCTTCCTGAGGGTTGCTAGTAAATAAGACCGTAAGACACCCCGTTTCACCAAGCCAATAATGCTAAAACTGCTCTTTAAAAGTATCTGATCAGCGAGATTTAAAATCTCATCAACATTATTAATGACTCGTCAACAACCATAAATGAGTTGAGAATTACCAAAAAAAATGTTTTATGATAGAATATTAGATAGGGATACAATCTAATAGGTCAATAAAGTATTTCACAAACTAATTACCTGTATTTTACAGTATATATTCACTTTAAAAAACAAAACTTTTAAAGTATGCATGGAAATCAAGCTATAATAGATTTCTCTTATATATTGAGAATCCTTTTTGAGTAATGTTGAACTTCTAATTTGGAAAGTTATACATTTTTCCATACTGGTTTATTTAATTTTCCAAAGGTAATTTCTTTTTAAATTTAAGATGCCTCAAAATTGACTAAAACCGGTAAAAAATAGAATTGAAAAACTATACTTTCTTTTAATAGATTTCCTTTCCTTTGATAAATATCATGCTGTTTTCTTGCACTGTATATGCCCTCGTTCTATTGCTTTAGCAAATAGATCCCTCAGTGGGAAAGCAAACTCAATGGTTTTAGACCTGACAGAACTTTCTGTTTATTTGACTTACAAGTAAAATTGGTAGAAACCCTTTAATTTCAAAGTAGAACTACTTGAAAACCAATATTTATTTTTCTTTCAATGTCCGTTTTCGTATAAGCATAGATAACACTGATCCGGAATCTGGTACTCCATGTAATCCACAAATGCTCTTACCTCCCCACAATAACATTTATATTTCGCTAATGTAATTTTTGGTTAGAATAGGGTATCTTTTTCCTGTTTTTGCACATCTTGCCTTACACAAAATTCTGTACAACGTAGAATGCTGAATCAGCATTCAAGTATATAATTACATGGTTTTTGGTTTATATAATTTAAATGTAAAATTCAGAAAGAAAAAAAAACAGATCTACGTACAGAGAGATAGATACATAGATTGACAGACAGAAGGGGAAAGCAAAGGAGTTGGGTTATAAATTATTATACGCATTGAATTTTAAAATGTACACTTCTGCTTCCAAAAATTGGGAAAAGCTGTGTTTTATACAGTATTCCCTTTCGTATGGAGTTTTTGGGGAAAAAAACTTGCAGCAAGACAATATCTATGGAGGCTCTCGTGACTTTACAGTATCCTCCATAGATATCAGTGTTGTACTATTGTGCATGTGCAAGAGTACAAAACTAATGTGAGCTCATGGCAGATAAAGCTCTATTAGCTGAATAAAGAAGATGGTGGCGCAAACAGCAGACAGCATCAGAGAAAACTCTCACCTCTGCTGCACCCAGGGGCATCACACATCAAACGGCGAGGTCACCATTGGGTTATCATGTGGGGACCTACTGATTACATACCTTAAAAATGCCAATGTACTTCTAAGACCCCTAAATTGAAAGAAGAGAAGTCCCCCTTCATAACAGATATAGATTTTTCATAAAGAATTATGCAGTTGGTTACTGTGGTATAAGTGGGGAAAAGTGTACTTTGATTTTACATTGTGTAAAATGAAAGTTAAGCCCACCACCCCAATAACCAGTTAACATTTTATTTGATGAGGCATACAAATTAGAAATAATTATTCCAAAATAGTAAATATCCCGGATATCTAAGAACATCTCTGTGCCATTTCAGTTCAGATAGTAGAATATATGGGTGCAATATGTAATCAGACCCTTAACCTGTGCTGACTTTGGCAGGACAATCCCTGTTTTTGAATCTTGTCCCCAGTCCCTAATTTGTATCAAGAAAATGTAATGAGAGAGTATTATTTGATGCACCTGCATTATGTTCAGGGCTCTAGAACCCTGTAGAGAGTAGTGGGACAGTGCTCCGTGCATGGTCTTCCCTTGGTGAGAGCCTACATTCACGCCAGGCTAAAATGTCAGTTCTTTGTGTAAACCTGCCCCCTTCTGGGTAGCATGTAAATTGCACACAAATTGCATCACCGATCCACCCTTTTTTACCACAGTAATTTGGGGGGGTGGAATAATGTATGTATGTGTGGCGAACAGAACCTCGTCACAGGCTTTTGGAGGGGCCTGCTTGCCAGGCTCCAGCCAAAAGACTATGGGCCAGTTCAGCGACTGTAAAGACCCATATTTTATTCCCCCTGTTTCGGCACTTTCCATTTATGCGCATAGGACCGAACGCTAGCTCCCTGGCGGCCGTTCGCATGGACCAAAACCACAAATAGACTTCAGGGGGACTTAGCCGCAAATGCCCTGGAACTGTTTTTGGCATGAAGACTTTGCGGTTCCCGGACGGTCCCCCAGCGGCACTTAGCAGTGACTCTATGGAACTGTTTTGGGCATGGGACCATGCGTGCGGTCGGTCAAACTTTGATTTCCAGGAAATTCCTGAACCCCTGAACCTACCAGGGGATGTAACTTTTTTGTGTTTTTTGTGTCTGGAGAAAATTGAGTTAATGGGGACTGTATAAAAAGTCCAGTTGTGGTCCCATTAAAATGAGTTCACTTCACCTTCAACACAGAGCCTCATCTTTTGATTGTAGGGAACAGCTATACCAGCTATACCTGCTTCGGATTGCTATACTGGCTATAATCACTAGCTCTTGTAAAAGCTACACAGCTTTACCTGCTGTACTCTCTGGAGGAGGGGAGGTCCAGCCACTGTAAGCTGGATCCTGGACTTGGGTCCAGGGTGGGTGGAGGACAGCAAG